TGGCCACGTTACAAGCATGATGATGGCCAGGCTGGGTTTGGAGGGATTGTTGCTGATAATATTTATACACTGACTGAAACTCTCGCAGTGTAAACTAAACTGGGGGAAAGAACCTAATGGCATCTTTCTTCAGATTCCTGGATGCTGAAGAGCTAGCATTCTTGGTGTGTTCGTCTAGACATGTAATGAGCCGTTCAGGGGGGGTTGAAGGGTGGAGCGGTAGGATTCTGAATAGTTGGAGTTAGAGGAGGATGGATGGTGGCGGAGGGGGGGTCTAAAGGTGTGGACGGTAGGATGGCTGTTGGTCGGGAGTAGGAACGATATGGTGGGGGTGTGGATGGGGGTGTTGGGTGGGAAAGCACGCCCCACTGGCGTTTACTGGTAAAGGAGTCTTTCGCTCACTCTCTGTATAGGCACATACTAACTCTCTATGTTCTGTGTGTCTATTTTTGAACCTTCATTTATAAAATGCTCTCTTTACGATGAACATGTGTGTGTTTCAATGGTAAAAGTTTTTAATAGCATTAAGTGTCTGTCGTGGTACAGATGCCTTCAGTGCTAGTTTAGACTCTGAATTAGTGTGTATACCCAGCACTCTAAACCATTATCCCCCCAGGTTGGTTGCTGCAGCCTTGTGTTTTTCCAACCGATTGCAACTAACTCATTGTGTATAACATACACTACTGAGTAAATTTGTAACTTTGGTAAATGATTTTCCATTACGTCATATATGAGACTACTTGTCTGTACATGTTATATTCAATACAGAAGAGTGTAAACATGTGCAATTCTTTATTTGGTGCTCTCCTGATTTGAGGGTGTTCTATATTATTCACTAGCCATGGCTAGATATGTGTGTGTGGGGGCTGTTGTTGTTCGGTATGAATGGCACAGAAGAGTAGGGAAGTACTGTAATGCATAATGGCCGTTGGCTTTGGTGGAAACTACAATTATGATGACGATCATTTGGTGATGGTTGGGGGAGACGCCAACTCCATTCTCCTCCTGTGGTCTATGTACTTGCTCAGTCTCCTCTATCTGGTCATTTTGACCTCAACTCACGTTTTTACTCATTTTAAGTTTTATTTTTGTTATACTCATTTTTGTTTTGTTTTTTTTTTTATTTTATTTATTATTTTAATTATTATTATACACTTTTTACCAGTATTTTTAATATTTTTTCTCTTTTTCTTTTCCTTTTTCCTTTTCTTCTTTTTTTTTTCCCTTCCTATTTTTCTTTTATTTTCTTTCTCTTCCGCTGTCTTCCCTCCTTCTTCCTGTGCATCATTCACACTTAACCGGTCAGTGAACACTCCACATCGTGGTTCGGATATCCAATTTTTTGATCAAAATCTAATTTTATTACTATTGTAGCATAATCCAGCCCTCTCTGTAAACAATTAGCACACACAAGGTAACCCTCTAAATCAATGGGACGAGACATTAAGGTGTAGGGTGTTCTTTTTTTAGAGAGGTTCTTGAGGGAAGAGGAGTGTGGGCTATATTAGAGAGTTGTCCTCATAGACATGATCAATAGTCACCTGACTTTTTCCTATCCTGAGGGCGGGGTCTGGGAACACAACTACTTACACATATCACTACCAACTTTTGCACATAAGATTTACTACATGCTCTTTCTGTCTCTGCCACGTCAGACCAACATACCCATCTTCAAACTTAAAGGAATCGTCGTGAGACGACGCTACAGTGACTTTGAGTGGCCTAAAGAAAGACTCGAGAGAGATAGCAGGTTTGTAGGGTGGGACCATGTCTAATACATCATGTAGTAATACATCATGTCTAATAATCATGAAGGGGGAACCATTCGTGGTTCAGAGAAAGAAAAAAAACATTTTAGTCTCTCGCTTTTAGAACACAAATGTTGTTGAAGACCCCAATGTTCTCCCCAATTGGGTAGTTTGATGTATTACAATGAGAATGAAGAGACATTATCTTCCTGGTATGTGTAGCGGGCGTCGATTATAGTGTTGTGTGTGTGTGTAATTATACTGTTGCCAGGGGGATATCCACAGCGGTCCCCATTACGGAGACAGGGTGTGCATTAATTAGAGTCCTTTCTCTCTCTCCAGATGTGGTTTCCTCCGCTACCTGGCAAAGCTCTCAAAAGACAGCTTCCGTTTATGGAGGCGACGTGAGTTACGTAACCACTCTTTTCATTGTGAGTATATGGAGTTGTAGGCCGTGTGTTTGGTCTGGTTGGGTTTTGGCTCACCTCTCTGTGCGTTTTTAATTGCTCAGTGGCATGCAGATCTGCCAGTCAAAAGATACTTATCCCCCTAGGCATGTTGTCTTTCTGTCCTGGGGAGCTCTGCACACGTAGAAGATATTTGTTATATGTACAACATACACTATGGCCCTAGGCATATTTTCTGTCCTGAGGAGCTCTGCATAGAACATACACTGTGGTCAGAATGACTGTGTATAATAATATGTGGGAAATAAAATACTTTTGGGTTTGGTGTAATTATAGTGAATTTGACTTACGTTGAGGGACGGTTAGCCACAATATTGATGGAAATCGTCTCTCTTCCTTACGTTTAAGAGTAACAGCAATGGTACCATTGATAGACGACTATCGTTTTCCCAACCACGGCCACGAGAGTGTGCCAACTGTTTATTGTACATTGTACGTGGTGTGCGGACTGCTTACAATGCTCATGTTACGTGACTCACAATGCAGGTATTTTTGACGAGGAATTCATAGACGACAGAAAAAAGGGGCTGGAAGAGTTTGTAAACAAGTAAGAGGATTGAGCGTTGCATTGGGGATACCAATACTCCCACATGTCTCAATGAAAGCTGTAACCAACCACCTGAGGACCCGCCTCCGTTTTGCATTCATACACCCAGTATTACTAGAACGAATGCAATGTTGTTTCGTGTGACAGGGAACCACATTCAGGTGCAAGTTTGGCTTTCTTCCACCCTTTAATAAAATATTCCTAGAATAACGTGTGGATATCATATACAGCCTGTACTGACGACCGAGTAGGCTCTCGCTTTGCTCCTGAATAAATTGTTTTTAGGTGGAAATATGTTGATAAGTGGGTGTTGCTGCATCATTTTTGTGCAAGTCTATGGAGTCATATCAGTGGTGGGCACGTCTGTTAACAAGTGCAACACTCAGAGAAGACTTGACAGCTCTGTATACAGGCTTCGCAGATTAGCTAGATTAGCCATGATTTGCTCTGTGACGTTTACTCCAACATACATTCACAGTGATGTTTGTAGCATAAATGCCTCTTCCACTGCCAAAATGCATTCTTTCTACGTAATTGGGTGAGCTAATCAGCAAGCCCCTTGGAGGACATTTCACTGTCAACAAACTGTAATCATGAATGCATTGAAATGTTCGCACTCACGTTTGCGTGCCAAAATGCACAATTGCTGCCTTTTGTGTCACGTGTAAGTTCTTTCCTGTATATAATTATCAGCACCATACTTTACTTTCTGCCACTGAGTTATATATATACTACCAATACGCTTGGTAGATAATTATGTTGCAGTATCGAAATAATTGTGTTCAATGAATTGTTCCCTACTTAATTTTCCTGATTCTCTCTCTCTCTCATCTCTTTCTCTCTATATCTCTCTCTCCCCCTCTCTCTCTCTCTCTCTCTCCCTCTCTCTCTCCTCTCTATCTCTCTCTCTCTCTCTCTCTCTCTCTCTCTCTCTCTCTCTCTCTCCAGGATATCCGGTCATCCACTAGCACAGAACGAACGCTGCCTGCACATGTTCCTTCAGGAGCCAGTGCTGGATCGGTCGTACGTCCCGGGGAAAGTACGGAGTACAAACTGACTGGTGAAACCGAGGGAACAGACACTCGATGTCAAATTTGCTCCTTTAGATTTCTCCTCTTTACTCCCTGTGTTTTTTTTTTGTCTGATCCAAAACACACACGCACAAACACACATACGCAATGTTTGTATATGCGGCACATGTATATACAGTGTTAGCAATTATAGTGTAGTATTTAAATGTGCTGTGATGCGAAACTGTTTCGTGGGCGTGGCTCGGATTACGCGTGCGCGCAGTTAGAGTTAGCGCACGCGCGTTTTTGGCGAAACACCGAGCCTCTCCAGTAGCAGCCTCTTCGACAGTGTAAAGAAAGATGGAAGGAAGCATGAAATCGTTGAGAAGGACCTTTACAGGCGAAGAAGAGAAGGAAACGGACTACGTACGACAGGTTAGTGTGTGGGGGTAGTATGGGGTCACGTGACAGCTGCTGTCGTCGTCTCACCTCCTCGGTCTTGCAGGCCTTCGACGGGTTCTCCTGCCTGTCTTGGAAACAAAAGGTCATTGGTTTCATTGTGAGCATCCTCCTTGCCGCCACCTTCTCCATCGTGGTAAGTAAGTATGTACACAAACAGTCTAGTCTCTGGCATGTGCTGTGGAATCCTATCTGTTGGTAAAGCCACAGATTGTATAGAACCTTATGGGTCAGCAGACATACAACAGCCTCTATGATGTCACTACAGTACTGTAGACTTTGCTATATTATTATGCTGTGTGTGTACGAGTCATGTGCCAAGCGTAATGATGTAAATCTCATTGCCGTGCAGGGGTGTGTGCTGGCTTTTCTAAGTCCACCTCTCTTTGCGGTCTTGTTCACCATTGGTACCATCTGTGGCATTGCAAGGTACATACATACATACATACACATGTATCTAACCAACTAGATCCCTTGTCATAGTAGTAGTCGCTGATCCTTTGACAACTCCACATCTTTCAGGGTGTGTGTAATACGCACTTAACACTTTCTTTGAAGGAAAACTAAAGTGTACTGGGAGAAGGTCTTAGTTGCATTATTTCTCTTCCTCCTTCTCTCTATCATCTCCCCCTTGTCATATTCCCTTGTATCCATATTTAAAAGTTGTTTCATGGTCCCTTCGTCCCCGCTTGTAGTACCAGGCCCTTCTCATCCCCCCCGAGGGCAGAGCATGGGGAGGAAAGTAATGTAATTCCCTTTAAAAGTCAATTTTGATCTCCGCCACTTGAAAATATGCTAGATGAAACCCTGTCTTCCATTCTGCCTCTCTCTCTCTCTGCCACCAGTACGCTGTTCCTGGTAGGTCCCATATCGCAGGCAAAGAAGATATGTTCGTCGGGTGATGTGACTGCGTCTGTCATTAAGATATCCTCCATCGTTGTCCTGGTCCTTATGATAGCACTCGTCTTCTGCGCCGTCTTCTGGGTATATATATTATACAGTTGGCAAACAGTTTATTCTAGCAACTGTGAACAATTCACACTTTTCCACGTTCTACGTTCTTCTTATATGCCAATCCTCATTCTCCCAATGACTACTGTTGATATGCAGTTAGTAACCAATCCTCATTCTCCCAATGACTACTGTTGATTGCATGCACCGTGCATTAGCCCCCCCCCCCCCCTTAGGATTTTCCTAAAAGATTGTCATCTGAAAAAACATTTTCACTTTTGTCGTACGTATTGTATATACAGTAAGAAACCGATGGTATTTTGTGAGTGGGGAAATGACGTACTGAGTTTGTGTAACCAGTCTTTCCTTCTGTGTGGTGACTCTCTGCTTGTATATTATATTATTCAGTGGAATGTGTGGCCAGTCGCAGTGCTGTTCTGTATAGTGGAGTTCATAGCTCTCATTGTGTAAGTCCCAGTAATATTATCGTGTAAGAATAGTGGGACAATATTTAAAGCGGGGGAAATTTCCGCATATATAAGTGATACCCTAAAACTACGTATATACATTTTTTGTGGACCATTAAAGAAATCCTGTATGTATGCAGTCCTAAATTAAACATGATTTTGCAATTCCAAATCCACGGCCTTCCGTGTGCGTATATACTGTTAGTGTATGTTACTCTGTGTGTTTGTGTTGTGCAGATATGCTATAACCCTCATCCCATTTGCCACGTAAGTTCTGTATAATTTGCAGCTCTAGAGCTATATTATATAAATGCCACAGCTATAATTAACCCTCGGCGCGCATGTGCAGCGAGGGTTACTGTAGTTAACCCTCGGCGCGCATGCGCAGCGAGGGTTACAGTACTTGGGTCTGTCTGTGTGTGTGTCTGTCTGTTACTCTCAATCTCACTTCTCGGGTGTTTGTTCGTCTCACAAAGGATACGACCTACTTAACGGGCAATGAAGGTCAGAAATTTCGAACGGTTTTTTCTGAAACTGCTCCGTTGCAAAGCTAGAGCGCGAAAAAGCCAATATGCAAATACACAACGGCTTACCACAGTCGGATCCATCCGCGTGCTCTGCGTACTTCGGAGGCACCAGAAGATGCAACGCAGGGCGTGTATCGCCTCTCGCATGCTATCTAGTAGTGTAGTTAGCCCGCGTCAGACTCTGCGCGAGCTGGCAAGAGACCACGAGTAACAGCTAAAACTAAACCCAGCCCATCAATTAGTGGTACGGCGCATGCGTTTACTTACGCGTGCGCGTCACAGTGCGCCGAGGGTTTGCACTTCAGTGCTTTTCATTGGGTTGTTGTGTCTGTCGTGTTGTCTGGTTACTCTCATCTCACTTCTCGAATGTCTGTTCGTCTCACAAAGCATACGATCTACTTAACGGCAATGAAGGTCAGAAATTTCGAACGGTTTTCTCTGAAAGTGCTCCGTTGCAGAGCTAGAGCGCTTCCAGTATTGTATGGCTAATGCCGGTAGTCGCCATTTTATCGCTGGCGGATAATGCGCATGCGCTTATATTTAGCACAGGTGCTTGCTCTGTCTATCTTGAAGGCACAAGAAGTCACAATGAATGGCGTGCATCGACTCTCGCATGCTATCTACTACTGTAGCTAGCCTGCATCAGACTCTCTGCGAGCTACTTCGCCGAGGGTTTGCACTTTAGTGCTTTTCATTATTATAATGTGTATGTGAATGTATCAAGTAGACCTTCCACACACTGCTTTTATGCTGCAAATTTGTTGTGCCTGTATATACATAGTGCAAGGGTTTATATATTTACACTGTGACCAAGTGTGTGATGGCTCTTTCTTTTCATGAAGGACAATCCTGAGTCGTGGTGCAAGAGGTGCCTGGAGTACTCTTTGATAGAAGACTGTTACAATACACACCTGCACCCACCTTCTGTACTATCACACAAAGTCTGATATCACACTCATTTCGTGCGTTCGTTTTTTTGTTTAAAATGGCTCCATGCGGCCACTATACACAATGTACTGATCACTTTCTCTCGTGTGAGCTTTGCGCCACGCCACTATCATTGTTAGTCGTAAGAAGCAAGAATTATGAAACAATTATATGATACAGGTGACTGTAAAAAGCCCCATCCAATGAATACTAATAACACACTACTCACTAACGGTCACTTGTTCGTCTTCGTGTTTCTTGTACGAGACCTTGGCCGGAGTGAAGGACCTCTTCCGCAGGCACGGCATTAGAGCCAGGACCCCCAGTGTCCCTATCACCCCCAGCCCAGCACCGAGGATGAACATCCACACCGCTATACCAGCTATCGCTCCGTCCGACAAACCATCATCATCCGAGTCAGAATCACCACTGCTGCTGGATCGATGGTAGACCGTCCCGTTTTCGTTACGGAGGTACACGAGCTCGGGTCGAGCGCTTTGTTTACCGTCGGTCGATAGGGCGATCTTAAAGTTCAGTTTGTTGTTGTTGACTACGGCAGAGTCATGTAGGGCGGTGATGGCCTGGAAGGCGGAGACAGGGGCGGAGGGCAGTGCGGGGAGCGATACGTTGGAGAGGTTTGAAATGTGGAAGACAACGAGTAGCTCTGCTGCATCACCATTATCAACCTATACATACAGTATGTACATGGTGTAATTGTGTGTGTGTGTGTGTGTGTGTGTGTGCAAGAAAAGATAAACAGTAAATGAACATTGCAAAACTAATGACAATGCAAGCAGGGGTGATTCTATCAGCTATTACACTCCCCAGGATGGAGCAATGTCGATTGGGTAAGGTTTGATTTTATATAAGATTACCTATTAATTACCTGAATGTTTCCAACTTGAAGAGGTCTGACGCCAGTGAACCCCCTAATGGCAGTTCTCAGGTTCTGAGGAAGTTTTGAGAAATCCACTTCGATCCCCGTCACCGGTACAAACAGCCCCACGACGTAGAACTGGCCGCTCTGTACACACACCGACGTGTCGAAAACATCTTGGTCGGGTGGTCCACTGTCAAATGCAAACGAATCGTACGTCCCCGTAAATTGACGAGTCTCGCTGCTATTTGTCGTGTCGTTGACGTAGGTAATAGTCCCCGTGTACCTTGACCTCCACAGGGAAGACTCTGAGGACCTGGCGGAAGAGTGCGTCCCTATCTTCCACTCGGGACGAGTGAAAAACACTTCGTGGAGTGCGTCGGTCATGTTTGATCCCGAACGAAGCGTTTTGAAGGCCGTGTAGTACACCCAGGTATCGACCTCTACTCCACGAACGGTGCTCACTCCCTCGTAGGTATAGTTTGAGCCGTCCTCCAGGAGGAACAGCTGGGACGAGGTCACGAGGGCGGCCGTTCCGTTGACCACACTAACGTCGAAGGCCCCCTGAGGTTCGATGGCATAAATTGAACAGTTCCCGTATCGTCTGTCAATGACATACTGGGTCTCCAGGTCGAAATCTTGGATGAAGGTGTGCGGCCCAGTTGACAAATCGCTATCTCCCGCACTGTAGAAGTCCACTCGGAACAACGTGTGCTTAAAGTCATAAAATTCCTAAAGACACAAAACCAGAGAACATAATTTTACAAGGGTCAAATTATCCTACATGTAGTGTGCTCCATGCTTGCCTGAGACACTTGCACAAAAGTTGATTTAACAGTATTAGTGGCTCCTACGGCAATGATTACATTGACCCCCAGGGCATTGTAAACGATAACTTGGGTGAGTGTCTAAAACAGTTTCAACGTTTTGTTTGTCAGTTATTTCGACGCAGTCTGCAAGTGGTCGGTGTCCACAGCCCTACTATGAATATATTATTCATGTTGTATATACATACTCTAAAACCCAGGGAAGAATATAGAGAGTGGAGTCTCTGTGGCTACAGACAACAGGTGTTCCTGTCGGGCCAAGCTTTGGAGTGTACAAGCTATTGGAGCTATTGGAGTACTGGTGTGTAGGTTAGCGTCAAAATTAATATCATCAACGACAGACAGAGTGAATGCTTACACGTACAATATATAGTGCTCTCGTAGAATGTTCTAGAATCTACCACGTGCTAGTTCAAAGGTCACACCGTTACGTCACTCCAGGTGTATTATTATAGTGATGTTAGGCAGATGATGTGGATCTGATCAATACTGAGTCACGTCACACTGCTGGCTTAATGCTAAAAAGCAACTGCATAGGACTTCAATTTTGCTCAGAGAATGTCAACAGTCTTGAACATATACACAACAGCAGACCTTGTCACCTCAGCTCCAATTACTATACACACTAGTGATTCATGCATACGTTGTTGGGTAGTATGGACACATTATACAGTAGTCTCACTACACAGTTATACTACAATGCCGTCTAGAAAGCAGGTTATCATAGGAATATTATTACGATCAGAGAGGTAATATAAGGACTCCAGAGGCATACATTGACACACTGGTTTGCAGCGAAAGTATATACATACTAACGTTTTCAGCACAACTGTCATATTGCATACTCTGGGGGGTGATCAGTGCCAAAATGATGTTTTACAACTTATGTGGCATTGTCCTTTCCATAGATGATGCAGTGAATTTCCTTTTATGTTACATTATGTAGTACGTTCAACGTTATGTATTATAGTGCATTTTGCATTATGTGGTTTTTCTTTGGTATTTTGGCACTGATCACCCCCCATATAGTCATTGTGTCATACAAAAATAAGAGCGTATTACTGCCTTACCCTGAAAACACTGACAGTTTTGTTGTTCTCATCGACCGCTTCGAAAAAAGCGCTGAAGTAATCAGGCAGTGATGGAAGGGGCATACCCGGTGCACGCCCCTTGCACGACAGACCATTCGGAACCCGAAAAACGTCGTCTGGTACGGAGTCGGGACCGACGTTGAAATCGACAAAAGTGTAAGTGTTCAGTACGCTGCGTGTGCTGTTCATCGATTCATCTTCGTTTGTTCCGTTCACAATAATCATGACCGGGACGGGGTCACTCCTGTACGACGAGGTCCAATTAGAGTCATTCCTCGAGAAATAGTAGTCGATTGTATACGACCTATCGGAGAGGGTGTAGCACGATTGCCAGTGATTACAGGGTATGCCTCGGAGATCTTCTTGTCCCATAAATAATACACTGTCAGTGTCGTTTGTGCGGAAGAAATGGGCCGCGGTGCCAATGTGAGGTGCACCCTCCTGGAGACGAAAACCGAATGTCTCCCTCAGCCCTGGATTACTCTCTTCCACCACCCGCACAGTGCACTCCGTTGCTCCCACAACGCTGAAGATTTGCAGCGATTCATAGTCGACGAGCAAGTAGCCGGAGGTGCCGTTGTAGGCGAAGTCCATACGGCCGCGGTTCCCCACGTCGTCAAAGTACTCTCGCACAGATATCTCCCCCGGGCCTCTTGACTGCACCACTGCCTGCACGGTGGTGGAGAACTGGGAAGGAAGAGAGGGTAATCGAGGGTCTGTGGGTCCCAGGGTGTATGCTAATTGATCGCAGACGACGGGAGTCACATCGCAGCGTCCGCTGGTTGCACCATAGGCGAAGAATAGCAGTATGGACAGAAGAACGACAGGCAGGGAAACAGCCATTGGATTCCTGAGCTCTCTTGCCTCCCCTATAGCCCGGCCCTCGTGATTATATCGATTGTTGGCTGAGTTTTACGCATGCGCAGTTCGATCTGGGCTGGGTCGAAATTCATTGTTTTGTGAAACTTATGACTATGTATAAGATCACCATTTTCCTACTCGTGTTGCAGGACAAGCCCCCTTTCTATGTCATTTGAGTGCCTGAGACCAAGTTCGCAGATCCAGCTCGGCTCATGAGTTCGAAAGAAGCTCTCTCAAACTCCAAGAAGACGGCAGCAAACGAGGGAGACATGAACGGCGATTTCCCAGCAGGGTGCACGGGCTATGGAGGGACAGTGGTCGCCCAGACGCCTCCACAGCAGGTCAGCAGCCCTCTCCAAAGCCCCTCGGCCGCCATGCCGCCGCTCAAAAGCCCGCACGTATTGGGCAGTCCCACAGCACGCATCCCCACCCCGGACGCCACCGGCAAACACGGTATTCTGGACGGGCACCACGGAGTGCCTGCCGTCGTAAGCTACCACAACGCGGCTCTCCCTGTGCAGGCAGCGGTGCTGCGAGCTGGACATCAAATCCAGCTCCAGCCTCCGCCGCTCGGGCGCATCCCCTTCTCGCTCCACTCGGCGCTGCCCAACGGCGGCGGGCCGTTCCACGTCCCTCCACCCACCCTCATCCAGAGTGCCCCGCTGGGAGGTGCACCCCCGGCTCTCATCCCACCCTCCGCAGTCCCACTGTGCTCTCCCGTCACCACCATGGCCTACCAGCCGGTCATCCAGAGCCCGCACAGCGCCACCACTCCGCGGAGCATCCCGCCTACCCAAGCTCCCGACCCCGACTCGATCGAGGTCAAACAACTAGAAGAGTTTGCCGCCAGTTTCAAGCAGCGGCGCATCAAGCTGGGCTTCACGCAGACCAACGTGGGCCAGGCCTTGGCCGACGTGCAGGGGACAGACTTTAGTCAGACCACCATCTGCAGGTTTGAGAATCTTCAGCTGAGCTTCAAGAATGCCCAGAAGTTGAAGCCCATTCTGGAAAAGTGGCTGGAAGAGGCTGAAAAGGCCGGAGGGCCTCAGCGTGAAGAGGAACAGTCCCCCGAACGACGCCGCAAGCGACGGACGTCGATTGGAGTCGGCGCTAAGGACACGCTCGAACGACATTTCCTCGCCCAGCCGAAGCCTTCCTCGCTCGACATCTCGAGAATCGCTGACGGACTCGGCCTCGAGAAGGAGGTGGTGAGGGTCTGGTTCTGCAATCGTCGACAGCGGGAAAAACGCGTCCGCTCGTCTTCTGCCACCAACAACAGCCCGCTGGGCGCCGGGACAAAACACGAGATAAGTCCTCCGGCCCACTAGCTCGCTCGAGTAGTACACCCCACCCCCATAAACTACCCCTCAACCCCAGTACGGTTTGTATGTTTTTCGAAGTGTTGCCCTGGGCACATGTTTGCGTTCATCATAGACGACGCTCGCCTACCCCACCCTCTACCACAGCCATCTTCTCTCCACTAAACTTTTGTTACAAACTTTTTGACTGCGAGTGGAAAAACTGGTGATGGAGTATCATGCTCATCGCCCACTCTTTTTTCACTTCCCATGCCCTCTTTTTTACAAGACACTGTTCTGGTTTTTGTTAGCACGACAAACGGACTCCTAGAGAATTTTATTTGGGTTTTGAGTATATACCGATAATGGAGCTTTGAATATGTAACAAGACAGAACAGATTTCTTTCTAGCTGGACGTACGCACAGGAGCTTCCTGGTCTTACTCAACCCCCCGAAAGAACGAACCAGTCTCTATTCTTCTCTCAATCTGTATTGTGCCACTTTCTGTACGTGTATAATATATAATACTTCTTAGCTGTAGGCAGTTGGTTTTTGTACGCTGTGTTTTGCTGTCTGAACCATGTGTATGCAAATCGTCACTTATACTACCGTTTTATGACCCGTGTACGATAATTTCGCCGGATATCGGATTTATGATAGGCAGACATATGGTTGGAGTTGTAGCTAGCTAGCTACAAATAGACGTGGTGTACGTCACCCATGTGCATACAACATGGAGAATAACATTCAACAGCCTTCAGAGAAGCCTATGTGTATAAACTGAAGCTACTGGGCATAACGTGCGCCGATTAAGCAGTGAAGTGGTCTAGAAACCAGATTTGTTCTGCCAATCACCAGGCTGCGTCCCAGATGTGCAATCATAAACAAACTGAAGGTGCATAATTTTGTTATTCATACATGTACACCACATGTTTAATACGCTGTAAGCTTGTGTATGGCAATCAGATGCAGTACAGTTTGTGAATGTGATTCTAATGCTCAGGTTAGGGAGTGTTTGCATTTTGAAGGCGGGTGGGAATAAATCGAAAACCTCTACATAGCTTTTTGCAGAGATCGTGTAGGTCTCAGTGTAAATTGCAGGAACTGCATGAGACAGAATGATAGGTTGGTACATATGAAAACACTCTCACTCCTTGCCATAATACAGAGAGGTATATACGGTTGGGCTTATCTGCCACCAACTGATGAATATGCAGATAGAGTAACGCTGTAATAACACTCTTCTGCCTGTGGCTGTCTGCTCACAATGTTCTGGAACCTTGAAATGCAGCTGAGCATGGTCTGTCTAGTGCAAGAGCATGGTCAGAGTTGAAGTGTGCAAAAATCAGGGTTAGTTCACTTGATCAGAGCATGTAGTTAGTAGAAGAGAGATTTAAAAGTGAAGTTAGGTGTACATGTAGTCAGGTCCTAAGCTTTTTTGTCGTTTTTGTTTTGGTTATAAGCTTTATTAAGGAGGTGAAAAAGCTGCCTATCGTAACTCCATATGTATGCTAGTATATGCATACCTATACATACTGTATGTATTCTTTTATACCAAGTATCTGTGCATAATGCAGTCAAGTCTCAAGGGCTCCAGATGTGCATGAACCTTCTTCACACATCTGTAATCTGCATGAAGATTTGTTGGATATCCCCTAGGAAACCGAACATGTTCATATGAAGCTAGGTACTGGGGAATTTTATCAGCCATTACAATCCTGCATGCACATGCAGAGTGTACATAGTTTGCCTAGGGATATCCAACAAATCTGTTGCAGTACCCATGAGGCTGTTGGAACATTATTACGTACAGAATGTTGTATCCACTATTCTACAAACCTACATCACATGAGGAAACATAACCGGGTCACTATTGAAGCTGTGGTCTCTATGGCTCTACTGCTGCTGTTTTACTCTATTTGTGGGTGTGCCAACTCATGCATACTCAAAAATCATGCTCCGTCGGTTGTGATAAGACCTTGTTGAGTCTCCACCGCCTCTATTTTACAGTTTCCCGCTCTCCCCAGAGGGCCGGGCGCTGTTTATGCATGTACACGAGAGGGTGGATTGACGGACGTGTGTACATCTGCATCCAGTATGTATGTAAATCTGCCTTTCCGTGTCGTTTCGACGAGTTAATTTTATTTCAGTGTACCAGCAACTCGATTACGATTGGTAGAACGTGCTGAGGAATCTATTCTGGGCATGTTTCAGGGGACGTGAAAAATGTTAATTCGTGCAGGTAATGTTTTTACCTCGAGAACTATCGTCCAGCAAATCCACACTCTGTATTATGTATGTACGTACGTATGTACGCAGCTTCCATAGTAAAGTTAGAGGTGTAGCTAGCTGGAGCTAATTAATCCCGTGCCGGACACTTTTAACAAGAGGTTTATTCTGCTCCACCTCCAACATTGTTAAAAGATCACATAAGTATTAATTACACTCCAGAGATTGGTGAATACTTTGGACGCCATGTTAAATGAGCAGAACTTGATGTATAACATATTCACGCCTAGTATTATAGCCATATATAAATTCTTACGGACTTATGGAGGCTCTGGGCATATATATATATGCCCGTGGCTTGCTAAGGGTTAATTAACTCGCTCGATATATATGTGTGCAAGTCACACTAGCAAGACGGAAATTCTGCAGCCAAATGTACACACTATGTATGTACATGTGAAAACTACGAGGTAGAAAGGCAAAGGCTACAACAAACAAGTCAACTACATACACCCAGGGACAAGGAAAAAAGAAGAGCTGCTCTAGGTGGGATTCGAACCCACGACACTCACAATGAATGAATGTGCTGTGTATATACATACAGTGGAACCTCATAAGGTGGATGGTACTTATGAAAGTGGACGTCTGAATAAACCCCTCTCTATAAAAGTAATTGCCCCATACTTATACATTAGTGTAGAGTAAATAAAAATTCTTCGAATAAAAAAATGGTGAACAACCTGTGTCATCCCCATATACTAAGTACTACCATACTAAGTGATAGTCCTACCTCAGAATAAAGGGCACGTCTGAACATACAATGGGGCACAGTATGTGTGAAGGGGTAATGAACTTCCGGGTTTGGTGCAGCTGCTGAGTCTCCCAGCGGGCAGATGGCCCATTCAACGTCTGAGACAAGTTTTGGAGAAATCAATCAGTCGAATGTATAGTCACTAGTGACCTCATAACCACCGCACACAAATAGCTCCTATACACAATCGAAGTGACCACAATTACGGGATTACGTAACATTACTTAGAGTATGTTCATACGTTTGTTAGACAGTGGAAAATCAGTTAAATCAATTGTCTCACACATACGTATGGAACACATGCACAGAGTATAATTCATACTATATGCCATCTCGAAGAACTTCGTTTTCTGAGCTTGTTTGATTGCATATGTGCATACACACTTGTCTTCCCTGCATAACCTCACAGAGAGTGCACGCATCCACGCACTCCACTACACTATCCTTAGCACTTACAAGTTTAAACCCTTTCCACGCCACTAATACACAAGCATAAACCATGTATAAAGTAGTATTAAAACTTCCATATAAAATCTTACTGCGTATGGAGATAATGGACACTTTATGTGTCTGTGGCTAGTTAAGTGTTAACACAATGGAGCAGCTAGTGTGCTGATTACAAAGACGTCCGAAACGATTGTTGCACGTATACTGAGCTCAGTAGAAACACAGACGTTGCAAAACTAAAGCGATAGCCTATGACGATACCACTGTTTGGCAGGTATCGAATGATGCAGAGAGACCCGGGGACTGATGAAAAGACACATGTGTATCTCAGTCCACTGTAGTGTGAGAATGCCACCACCGGGAGCTTATCAGCTCTATTCATGTCGTTTATCAGAGTATAATATACAAACACGCATTGCATCGGTTTAATGTGATATGTTTATGATACAGGGATGCATTGTAACAGAGCATGCATTGATGCAAAGAAAACTGATCTTTGTTATGGGCATTTTCATAGTTACGGTCGCGCTTAATGAATCAGTGCCATATATAAACATTATGTACGTATGTGCATAAGGTGTTTATACAATAGGTGTGTATATCTCTTGAATGAGTGAATGAATATTATACAGCTTTAATTTGTGAAGCCACTCTCATTGGTAACTATAAAAAAATCTAGAGAATGTTCCACCACTAGTATATACACTCTATACTACCTGCCTGCCATTAGTTCACAAAGCACCGTGATCAGTATGTATGCATGTATAGTGGTGGTGAAATGCACAGTGTGAGGGTAGAGCAGTTATAGATGCATGTCTTTACAATGAGTTACTTAAGGTGTTCACAGCAGGAGTACTTAGGTAAAAGACTGTAGTGCAACGTATATTATAGGTGCATGAGGAGTGGGGAGGAGTTTCAGAAGTATAGCTATCATAGGTGTTTACTCTATGTGTGAGAGAGAGAATGCAGCAGTATTATTACCACCAAGAGTGCCATCACATGCACAGCTATTCATCCCCTCGTGAATACATCAAATAAACAACAAGGTAGCAATTAGTTGCCGTGACAACCTCCAGGAATGCACTCAGCGGGGAATCAGGGGTGTGTTGCGTCTAGGAAAAGAGGGGTGTGTCTGGCGCCCCAAAACATGAATAAACATACCCCGATATTCCGATAATATGTCTGGGTTTGTGCTCGTCTAATGATTGACTTCGGTTGCTAGGAGGTGTGTATAATTATGTACTTTCAGTTTGTACCAGTTTATGCACATCCCAAAGTTCACGTGTGTGTGTGTGTGTGTGTGCCTCAATAACCTCTAGGTTAGTCTGTCTCGGTATCTACCTCGGGAGAAATATTCTTCCTTCTGGTTTGTCTACGTAATTATGACAGGGCTGCTGCTGAACTGCTGTATGGTGCATGGGCTTCATATAAACACACATACATACACACACATACTGTACACGACACCCTTCATGGTGCATGCATGCATACCTTCTGCACTCATATGCACACAATTTACAACACACTATGATGGTGAATGCACTTCGACTTTATCTCACACTACACGCACACAGCAGCATGCATACTTGTTGGATATCCCTTGGCAACCGACATGTATGAAGCTAGGTACTGGGGGATTGTATCAGCCTATACGATCCTACATGTTGCAAGCAGGGTTCATACATGTCGTTTGCTTAGGGATATCCAACAAATCTGTTGCAGTACCCAGACAGGACAGCATTCGGGCTCATGCTGTTCTGTCTGGGCACTGCAACATAATAATACGTACGTATACCTACTGCTGCACAGTGGGATACATACACACTCATACACACATGCAGACACACCACCCCATAATACATGCAGAGGTCGGTCGGTGTCTGTGGATGTGGTTTTGCAATGTTGACAGAGCTCTAGTAGATGCTATCCCTTATGACACAAATAAGGCCCATTATCCTATCTCCATCCCATACCATTTCTTATGCATTACGTACCACTCAAGTGGAGTATTGATTATATACAGTGGAATATTGGTCGATACAAACCCACAGTTGCTCTCGTTTTTCACATCAAAATTACGTAGACAAACCCTGGGATAAAAAGGTGGAATAACAGTAGAAGATTTTGAGCAATGCCTCAATAATGAAAAAGTAGTAGTGCCGCTGCTTCATTTAGGGATCACTAAGCCCGTTTAATACATGAAACCATTAAACTCAGTATTTAAACAGCCGTAGACCTTATTCTGGCCTTCCCAGGTATTCCCCAGAACTATAAATTCGTGAAAACCCTCGTGAAAAGTGGCAGAGGGTGTATTGCAATATTACTGCAGGCGTCCAATGGACCAGCTATTGACAAGCAGTGATCAAAGCCCCTACACAGGCACCAGTAGTGTTGGAGACCAACCAATCCCCACCAATACACGAACAGCACCAGTATATACAGAGGTTGAAAGTGCCCTGTGTCTGGGGACAAATACACTTCACATGTAAAGCATGCCGGCTTTAAATATTTCCCAACCGGTCACAATGCCTAAAAGCTTGTTAGCATAACCTTGTCTGGCTTTCTTCTCTTAGCCGGCGGACATTAGGGTCGCAGTTCGCTCTCCATTTTTAAGTGATAAACATTAGTCCAAGGCGCCATGCTGATGGCGAGCCTGTCTTGCGAGCATCTAGGGGCATTTTGCGATAAAAGCGGAACACGGGCACCGCAGTCTTTTACATGTATACATCTGCATGTAATGTTTATATTTTACAGTGCATTGCATTATAATTATCATTTTTCCTCCAGGTAAATATTTTATTTATGCACACAAACTTGAATCGTGCGTATTTCGTAATTATTTCATCATCAGGTATTATATAATATGCATGTGATGTGATCCATCCGTGCACACATTTTATTTTAGGTGGGTTATATATAGTCAGTTATAGTTTTTGCTCGCTTTAAGTAATTTTTACCAAGAGTCTACTGTTATTTAGTGCAGTATTCTTGCTCATAAAAACAGTGGCTTCATATTCATAATGTGCATAAATGTATACATGCATATGTGGCTTTGATTGATGTGTATATCCAGTTTCTATGCATATGTGCAGCACTGTGCAGTCTTTATAATTGAATATACTTACACATGCTAATAACGTATTTTCCTTGGAGTGTGAGGTCGTAAGTAAATGATATTGCATGCTGTGCGCACATTAACCCTTTGGACGCCATGGGTATCTCCTTAAATAAGCATAAATTGATGTGTAATATATTAGCGCCTAGTAAAATCCCATATAAATTCTTATGGACTTATGGAGGCTCTGGGCTTGCTAAGGGTTAAGATAGAGATGGGCTAAAAGTCTGCAATGTTCCAACCTCACTGTCAGTGTTTCATGTTCCAACCTCATTGCCGGTGAGGTCATTGATGACCGACCCACTTTGTATGCTGGAGCCACTGAATATCTAGAGCAATGCAACTAATTGGGGGAACAAGAGCCACTGAATATCTAGAGCAATGCAACTAATTAGGGGAGCAAGAGCCACTGAATATATCTAGAGCAATGCAACTAATTAGGGGAGCAAGAGCCACTGAATATCTAGAGCAATGCAACTAATTAGGGGAGCAAGAGCCACTGAATATCTAGAGCAATGCAACTAATTGGGGGAGAAAGAGCCACTGAATATCTAGAGCAATGCAACTAATTAGGGGAGCAAGAGCCACTGAATATCTAGAGCAATGCAACTAATTAGGGGAGCAAGAGCCACTGAATATATCTAGAGCAATGCAACTAATTGGGGGGAGAGCCTACTATTTAGGGGGACAAAAATTAGGAAAGAAAAGGCATTTCTTCTCTGAAGATCACTGTTTTTCCTGGTATGTTTATAATAATTATGCAAGTTACGTAGACGTTATTTACACCAGTGAGCTGAGTCTGAGCTGCGAACAAATACGGAGCAACCAGTTTGGCACCTGCTTATGTTTAAAACATGTTCCTACCTCTGCACCACAACAAATTGATGCGCATCATGCTACACTTTTTTGGCGAGCGAAGTGAGCAGTTAAATTTCTTCACGCGCATTTATAATCATGTCGAACATTACGGTGCCTGTCACATATACCATAATTGCATTCAGATGACTAGACAGGCTCGCTTCACTCACCAGTTTTTCTGCACGTGTTACGTTTATATACGTGCGCTTATTAAATGATTGCTTGAATGTATCCACAGCGATAAGAGAAGTAGAAGAAAGAATAGCTAGTGTGAATTATGTGTACGCAACCGCACAACAATAAAGTTCGCAATATCCTACATTAATACGTACACACACACACAGAGAGAGAGAGGACCTCATCGAAACAATACCTTCACATCGGGATTACGTCGAGTTACGTAATCTCTTTACACAAAGTCCAACAGCACGAGCCACTTGGCACGAAACAATTTGTACGCCAAAATTCATTAGTCCACTACTACACTATACATGTGTACACGCATACATACATTCATAACAATTATGTAATTTGCATACATGTGTATATGTATTGGCCGTTGCCATGTCCGACGGGGTCACGTACAGCTTGTGAGAACAGCTTCTGAGAATCTCATCCATGTGTTTATGCATGCATAGAGCTGGCGACAAAGCAGGCAATGTCTACGCGAGCACCTCGTACATCGTGCAATTTGTACGGGTATAGATAATCACCCTTTCACCCCCTTTTGCAAGACCGCAACTATTGAAGTGCGGGACATTAAAATTGCACGAGCGGGGAGCCACTGAATGCATTATGCTATTCATGAACGTCTGAGTTGTATGCGGGTCATTATGGGTCTGGATGGGGTGGCAATATAATCGAATACCTTTCCCTATGGTCGTTCAGTAGACGCTCAATAGCCAGCATTTATGCACATACAAAACTTCTCACAGTACCGTTCATGCGTATGTATGTATCATATTCACAGGATTTCAAATATGAGAATGTAAATTATATGCCAAATATTTTAGAGGCACAAAATATACGTGTTTATTGGCAGTTTTCGATGAACACAATAATATTATTGTTGATACTGAACTCTGGTTATAGGTTATAGCTACATCTCTCCATTGAAAATGTGCAGCAAAATGTATGAGAGCTGGGAAGTCCACATTCTTGGAGCTGCAGTGCATGTTTAACTGCCATTTGTATTGAACAGGAGTTCATGGGTCTTGATGCTCTGGAAAATGGCATACGTGTGGAGGGCTTCTTTTTAATTTTTCCTGAGAGATGTGTCTCATTTCTGGATTCCAAGCCGCTTGCATGCAAATAACAGCTGTGATGCCCTGTTATGTAATGGTAGTTGCCAGGAGAATGGGATTGGTGGACACATTAACTATTATGGACATGGTACAGGACATTGAGGAAAACCAGACATGCAATAGAATAGTGTGCACCCTTTAGCCTCCAGAACTCAGGCAGAACTGAGGTTACTTGGAGTACAGATTAATTACGGTGTCAAGATTAATACTTACCTAGTTCTATGGTAGAATCTTTTGGTCACCATATCTTCCACCAACGTCATTAGGACTGCACCTTTCAGCTATAGTAAAGGTATGCAGGGTATTGGGTTTGCCTTTCAATCACCCCAAATTCTTGTTTAAAGTACGAATAATGTTGGCCATATTTTCCTGAAAGTTATTTGCACTGCATGCTTCAGCTGTAGTAAAAGTATTCAGGATATTGCGATTGCCTGTCCATCACTCCATATTCTTGTTAAAAGTACGAAAATTTTAAGCCACCCTATTTACTGCACCGACCTTATTATCCACAAAAGTACTTGCATTGCATCCTTAAGCTATAGCAAAGGTGTTCTGCCTCTGCTTGTCCATCACCCCACATTCTTGTTAAAGTACAAATGTTTTTAGGCCACCCTATTTACTGCACCGTTCGTGTAGTTATTGGACAAAGACACCCCTTACAACCCCTTGGTTTCTCATAACGATCAACGTCAAATTTTGAGATTTGGCAGTACCTATTATCCTCAAAAATTTGCATAAAAGACTCCATATTTACCCTATATTTGATTATGGATGTGACATCTTGCAAATTGCACTCTTAAGTCTCAGAACTGAGGCTACATGGAGTTTGTTGTCAGATTAGTACTTACCTTCTTCCCAACAGCCCTTCTATATTAGTAGAGCCTCTATCAGGTGCATGCGCATAATGTCACCGAATCAGCTGTTGTTATGGTGCGCATTATTTAGAGCAATGAGAATAGTCACACGATACTCACGTGCGCGTTAGGTTTGGCGAAAAAATGGCGGCGACGAGACAGCTCTGTACTCTGAGAAGATGTGCTAGTCTGGTGAGTTTCCCCTCGTAGGTACTTGCTGCCGTTGCTCATACGAATGGGATTTATGTGTGTGTTTGCTGTCCTTACAGGTCCCCAGCAGAGGCTATGCAGCAGCGGCTGCAGCGCCAGTAAAGGTGCGTCTTGCCCTGCACCCTTCAATACTAGCTAGTTGTACTCCCTATATACCCGTAGTACTGTCTGTTTTCATGTGTACTTCTAAACTCGTATGTTGCCTTGTGCAGGCACCTATAAGGGTGTTTGGAGTCGAAGGTCGATACGCTCATGCCTTGTTCTCAGCTGCCTCTCAGAAGAATGCCATTGAGTCAGTTGAAAAGGAGTTGACAGACTTCCAGGTACTACCAGTTCCACATAGTTACTAGGGCGGGGGGTATAGCTTGTGTTTTCCAGCAGATGTGGGGCTCTTGGTTTGTTACCTAAATCAGTCACATACGCTGTGACATCCGACTGCAATGAGTTAATGGATCAGGTTTAAATGCACATTATTATGAGGGTGTGGCTGGGTAAAGAGTATGAATTGAGGGCAGTGGAGAGGCAGGGATGTATTGCACATCCCCTCCCCTCCCCCTTTCCAGATGAAACACCAGTAGATGTTTATGGTGCTCTATTTTCTCTCCCTGCACTATATAGCGACTGGCAGATAAGAAGAGAGAGCTGGTGGATTTCATAGAGAACCCTGTCCTCTCCAAACACCAGAAGTTGTGTAAGCTCTAAGCACCCTGAGTCCTTTGGTCAATGCTGTTACTTCATTGATTCCCTGATTTTCACAGCTGCTCTGACAGACATTCTGAAGGACAGAAAAGCATCAGATCTCACTATAAACTTATTTGGTTAGTCAAATTCTATCCCTATGGGAAGATTTATTGCGTTCAGGCTAAGCGTGGAGATTTTGATGTTCAGCTATGTTTAGCATAGACAAACATTGTGTTATTATTTTACATGGTTGTGACCCAATAGGCATACCCTGGCATTGATTGTGATTAACCCTTGGCACATGTGCAGTGACGGTTACAGTACTTGGTTTGTTAAGTGTGCGTGTGCCATACGACTTACAGTATTTAACCTTTCCCACTCATGTATTGGGTGTGGTCTGATGGATAAGCACCTGCTTACTTGATCCTGAGGTCCATGGTTCATCCCCATCTGGGGTCATTTTTTAATTTTATAATGATGTAATAATTACGAGTGTTGATATAAGTCGAATTTCTTACTCGGCGGTCACTGTGTCAAATTGTGACCCACCCAATACAGGAGCACTGACAGAGAACAATAGACTGAGTAGGGCCATGGGAGTCATCAAGGCCTACTGCACCATCATGAGTGCTTACCGCGGCGAAGTCCAGTGTACTGTCACCTCCGCCAAGGTTAGCCATACATTTCCTCCTCCCTCCCTTCAGTAATACGGGACCCTCCGAGATAGGGACAACCTCTCTACAAAGGACACTTGTTTCAACCATATGCTAATACTTTAGTGTAATATTTGACCTCCGAGATAGGAATGACCTCTCTAACATCGTTGGCCCCATAGTGTCCCTTGTTTGGAGGTTCCACTTTATACTCTATGCAGTACTCCCTCCCTCCCAGTATAAAGTCCTATTGAAGCCCTATATGTCACCTCTCTGTCGTTTCCTTTCTTTCTCTGTATTTTATGTTAGTTTACATTGTAACGTGGCCTCCCTTATGCCGTCCTTCGTCTCCTTTCAGCCACTGGATGCCAAGACCCAGAAAGAACTGGAGACTGTTCTGAAGGGATTTCTAGAGCCAAAGCAAGTGCTCAAACTCGACACAAAGGTACGTTTATTTATTAAGTCCACAATGACTTGCATAGACACGTTATTTTAACACTACTGCTTTGACCTGAGCTTGGAACACAGGTATATTCTGTCTTCACTGAGTTTCTTTGGCAATAGTGTCTAGCGTCTGCTTAGACTATCGTGTAGAAAAGTGATGCACGAATGTTTCCGTTAATTCGACAGAGTGGCCCAGCCCTGGTACTGTGAATATGTATTATAGAGTGTTGCGTATGCACTCACAACATGTGCCGTTTTGGTGCTATTCGAACATGTGTTTCATGGTTTTTTAGATGGACAGTTCTATCATAGGAGGGATGGTGGTTGAGGTAGGAGACAAGTACATTGACATGTCCACAGCAACTAAAGTCAAGAAGATCATGCAGTCACTCAAGGAAACTGTATAGATTTGGCCCACAGTTCTCTTGAGTAGGACACTGTATATCTGTTATTATTGTCCAGGTATAGTTGTGTATACAGTACTTATGGTAATTAGTGCAAGTCCGGTCTTCATACAATGATGTTCCTCGTTAGTACAAAACATTCCGCTTGAAATTCATGAAGTTCAATGCATTTACTGTAGAGTATAGCAGTCGTCACAAGGGACACAGTGACAGAGCTGATGCCCAGAGCTAGGAAAGTAAATTCTCAAACGCATTATTATAGCAATTGAGGTATAATTATAGCTATACACTTGATTGAAGTCAAAACTGCATGAAGAATTGTGCTATTGTATACTGGGCTTGATAGCAAGAGTATCGTGCAAACACTCGTGATGTCAGCAATGACATAGCTCAGTCGAGTTGCTTTCCAATGTTATCTTATTCCTGCTGTTTCGAAGACCTGCAAGAATGATTCCAACACAACAGCTCACACTACAGAAACTGAGGATGTTCTAGAAACTTCACCTGTTCAGAAATTTCACTACCCCGGTGGACACCAGTACCAGAACCCCAGTTCCTCCCATGGAATACGCGGTCCCCCAAGCCAAAGCCCTGGATGCCAGCAGCACCGGGTCCTCGTGTCCCTCCTCCCCCGGCTTGTTCCGTAGAGAGCGCCGGTAGCGCCTCCCCGCAAGCCCCAGCTTTAGACCCAGACCGGCGAATAAGGAGACGAAGGTAAGGCCAGCTAGGAACGCCACTTTGGTCGCCACTGACTCCTTGTACGGCTCCGTCTCGGCATTCCGGGGAGAATCTCCTGTGTTGCTATCTTCCTCCATGCCGGCGATCGCTCCTGTTGGGCATCTCTATGGAGAAGCAAGTGAGCACGCTGACGGTGCGCACTATTTGGAAATCCTGCTTGCGCTTTATTTAGAACAATCAGACGAGGGGTGGGGTCTGAGAACGACAAACGACGAATGGAGCCGAGCAGCTTTACGCACTCATTCTAGGGATATTCTTGGCATCTGTCTGTTCTCGGTCCTCCTGAAAGTTGAAATAAAACGCGTCACAAGACCACCGATCGAAGCTAAAACGACCAACCCCGTCGTCGGGGCTAACCAAATACCTCGCCCTTCACCTACTCAGCCTGGAGCTTTCCGCTGGCGGCAGAATCTGTATTGGCCGGTGTATCTAACACAGCCGCACACCGACTGACAAATCTCACTCAACTCCCTGGTAGAACTGTACATGGTGAAGGCTCGGTACCAACTCATCATGCCTCTGAGAAAGTACCAGAAGTTTCCAGGGAACAACAGGTTCTGGTGCTGCGGGGCTCTCATGTCCTCGAGACAAGTCAGCATCCTCATATTCTGTGCCATCATCATTGTGGTCGTCTCTGCACTCTTCTTTGCTTTTGAGTGAGTCTTGGCAGAAATACGGAAGCTTGGGGGGGGAGGGGGGGGGGGACTAATGTGTGTAGAAACCGTAGAAACTGTGTGTAAATTTTAACTCACTGAAGTAAGGACACCTCACTAATATTGACACTTTCTTCTGTCTCTTTTGATTGATGTCCGGACTAGTTTCCAATGTTATACAAAACTCGGTGTGAATTTGCTGTTATTATGCAACTTGTTACTCACATCCAGTGCTCGGTTCTTGGTGGTCAACGTAGAGCCATTAGGAGTGGGAGTCATATTCCCAGTCCTCGGAGTCCTCGGGTTGTATTTCTCCATGTCGTTCCTCTTCAAGACTGGCTGCATCGACTCTGGCATCTTACCTCGCGCCCTTCCAGATGAGATTGCCTACATGCAGTCACAGGGAGATGAAGGTAACTTAATACACCTCACTGGTTTTTTCCCCTACTTGGGCAGTCCCCCTAAACTACGTATAATATGGTACATCTCAATACTAGTGTTGTCTGCATTAAGTTCATATAAAAGGCTGCCAAATTACATCCCTATCCCCTTGTCTCATTTCACTGTCTCTATCCTTATTGTTGCTGTCACTATCCCTATCTCACCCTGTGTCCCTTTGCCTTTACCCCTTACCTCCCTAAAATGGTATTTTAAATTTTTTTTGAAACAACGTGGATGGAAGAAAAGTCAATCCAACCATTTAAAATAGTTCAACTATAGCTGGAGTATGGAATAGTAACATGGCACCCTGAAATGTTAAGACAGCTCTCTATTACGTACTGTATTCCCTACCCAAGAACAGTTTTTGCATGCCCTGGAGTAAGGACACCTCTCTAATAAGGACATGTCCCATTAGTGTCTTGATTAGAGGGATCCTCTACTATGTGCTCTCATTGCTCCCTTTGTGATCATTCAGAGCCGGCTGGCAGCGGTCGGACGCTGGGTGCCCCTGCTCGTTACAAGACTGTGCAGCACATGGGACAGAAGGTGAAGCTCAAGTGGTGTGTCACGTGCAATCTGTGGCGGCCTCCTCGAGCCTCTCACTGCGGACTGTGCAACAACTGCTATGGTTAGTGCACAACGTGTTTATAATAGTGTATGCCACATAGTCATAATTATTGTTGAAGGGTTAAAAGAATACTTTGTGTGTGTTGCAAAGATGTCGAAACCTTTAACTGTTTTAAAGGCCTATGTGTGTGTGTGTGGGATGTGCTTATGAAACTTGGTGTTAATTTTTTCGACCATATAAAAGTTTGAACCGCTGTTTTCAAAATCACCAAGTACTGAGATAGTTAGCCCAGAGTGTGTGTGTGTGAGTGGTGGAGGGAACATGTGGTATATATACTGGTACTTTGTTTTCTGCAGAAAATTTTGATCACCACTGTCCATGGGTAAGTGGTGTGTTGACTGGTTCTCTCTCTCTCTCTCTCTCTCTCCTTCCACTCTCTCTCTCCTCTCCTCTCTCTCTCTCTCTCTCTCTCTCTCTCTCTCTCCTTCCACCCTCTCTTTCTCATCTCCATCTTTGTCTACTTCACTGTTTGTTTCATAAAATATCCCAGAGACCTTTGATCACCACTGTCCCGCTGTAAGTCACTTGACATGATTATTTACAATCTTCCTCTATCTTGCCATCATGTGTAATTACACATGTGTACTGCATTCTACTGATCGAACCTCTGGTAAAAGTATATACATGTACTAAGAAATGCCCACTTAAGCTTTGCACATGACATATATGTGTGTATATGCATACAAATACACTCTGCTTGAATTTGCTAGTCATGTGTTATTTCCTCCACCTTTAGCTTCATTATCTCCACACACACACACTCACTAGTACACATACATTTACATAGTCCCTTGCAGATGGACATCATTGACACTCTTAAGCATTACTAATTGTGTGCAAAGCGACAGCCACAATAAAGGATTAGCCCCAAATTAACGCATTTACTTGTAGGACCGGTACATACATACATTCATGTGTCATCAATGTGGTCTCAAAACAGAGGCAAAGCAAACCTATACACGCAGGACACTCTTTGATCTATGCATATATGTGCCCGCAGGTTGGGAACTGTGTAGCCAGGAGAAACTACCGCTATTTCTACCTGTTTCTGACCACCATAGCTGTCACCGGAGTCTACATGATGGCCTGTAACATAACTGTCATCGTACTTGGTAGGCATGGCATCGTATGAGTGTTGGAGTGTGTGTATGCGTTTGGTGCTATTTTGTTTCTCAAGCCTCGAAGAAAATGGGATTTGGAGATGCGCTCAAGACCTACCCCGGAAGATATCCTTACCTCCACTTACATTTTTACACAGATTTCATATCAGAAAAACTACAGTAATTTCCTGTTTTACCCATGGTGTCCTAAGGGCTAAATGCATGTGTATGTGTATATACTAATAGGGTAAAAAATTCCTCTATAAACTGTAGTCAATAAAGATCCTGCATTTAATAGTGAGCTGGCTTATTAACCAGAGAGCGTACTGTTAGCTGACTTATTAGCCAGAGAATGTACTGTTAACTGACTTATTAACCAGAGAGCCTACTGTTAGCTGACTTATTAGCCAGAGAATGTACTGTTAGCTGACTTATTAACCAGAGAGCGTACTGTTAGCTGACTTATTAGCCAGAGAATGTACTGTTAGCTGACTTATTAGCCAGAGAATGTACTGTTAGCTGACTTATTAGCCAGAGAATGTACTGTTAACTGACTTATTAACCAGAGAGCGTACTGTTAGCTGACTTATTAGCCAGAGAATGTACTGTTAGCTGACTTATTAACCAGAGAGCGTACTGTTAGCTGACTTATTAGCCAGAGAGCGTACTGTTAGCTGACTTATTAACCAGAGAGCGTACTGTTAGCTGACTTATTAACCAGAGAGCCTACTGTTAGCTGACTTATTAGCCAGAGAATGTACTGTTAGCTGACTTATTAACCAGAGAGCGTACTGTTAGCTGACTTATTAACCAGAGAGCGTACTGTTAGCTGACTTATTAGCCAGAGAATGTACTGTTAGCTGACTTATTAGCCAGAGAATGTACTGTTAGCTGACTTATTAGCCAGAGAGAATGTACCGTAAGAACCTGTTAGTGTGTCTCCTTGACTGCGGTGAACTGTGATAGAGTTCTGTGTGAGTGGTCTGGCAGTAATCTCCGTCTCTGGCCTCTCCTGCATGCACACCTGGCTCATCGCTAGGATGGAGACCACCAACGAAGACGTGAGCCTCTTACGTATGTATACGTCATTCAGATTTCTTCTCATGCTGGATGTGTGCAAATGCAGTCTCAAGGTTTATTTCTTTCTCCCATGATGGTTTCATGCTGTATATACAGTCATTCTGGCTTGTGCTACATACATGAATATTGGTTGAGGTGTCTGCAATCTATTGCTTATTGAGTATTGCAATATTATTGAGGTGTCTGCAATGTATTGCTTATTGAGTATTGCAATATTATTGAGGTGTCTGCAATGTATTGCTTATTGAGTATTGCAATATTATTGAGGTGTCTGCAATGTATTGCTTATTGAGTATTGCAATATTATTGAGGTGTCTGCAATGTATTGCAATATTATTGAGTATTGCAATTATTGAGGTGTCTGCAATGTTTTGCAATATTATTGGTTAAGGTGTCTGCAATGTATTGCAATATTGGTTGAGGTGTCTGCAATGTATTGCAATATTGGTTAAGGTGTCTGCAATGTATTGCAATATTATTGAGTATTGCAATTATTGAGGTGTCTGCAATCTATTGCTTATTGAGTATTGCAATATTATTGAGGTGTCTGCAATGTATTGCAATATTATTGAGTATTGCAATTATTGAGGTGTCTGCAATGTTTTGCAATATTATTGGTTAAGGTGTCTGCAATGTATTGCAATATTGGTTGAGGTGTCTGCAATGTATTGCAATATTGGTTAAGGTGTCTGCAATGTATTGCAATATTGGTTGAGGTGCATACTTGTAGTTTATTGCACATCTTATCAAAGACACTACGACACACCCGGAAGCTTAAACCCCTCGTTTATTCTTGCCACCTGTCGTACTTTCTCAACAGCTGCATAAAAACCGTGTGGAACGTGCATGACTGCATTTACTACACTTGACCTTTGTCCTTTGTTCAAACCACACACACATGCAATAGAAATTATGTGTTGGAGTGATGCGCAGTGTCCATATTGTATATATACCCCTGGTGCAGATCAAAGGAACCTTTAACCCTCGAAAGCAGGGGAGAACGGTTCACAACCCGTACCGCAGAAGAAACTGCTGCCTCAACTTCCTATTTGTCATCTGTGGGCCTTTTCCTCCAAGGTTTCTATCATTAATTGTTCAGATACTGTATGATGGTGAAGCTGCCCACTTCATGTCCCAAGAACAATCTGTGTATGTGTGAAGAAAAGCCTTGTGCTGTTGTGTAAAAGCCTAGATTTATTTTATGCTAAGATAAAACCTATAGAACTATACAGCATGATGTACTCGTATTACAGTGGAACCTCCGATAAGGGACCCTCCGAGATAGGGACGGCCTCTCTACAAAGGACACTTGTTTCAACCCCATGCTAATACTTTAGTGTATTATTTGACCTCCGAGATATATAGCGACACCCTCTCTACAAGGGACAAAATCATTGGCCCCATAGTGTCCCTTGTTCAGAGGTTCCACTGTATATGTACCAATGAAAAGCTTACTGTATGTATGTATGTCCGTATGTAAAATAGTCTGATAGATAGACGAGGGGATATGACAGAAGAGTATCAGGCAGCTCTGGAGGGGGACAACAGCAGCTATGGAGCCACCAGCTCTGTACCAAAGGTCTGTGTGTGTGTGTGTGTTTGGAGGGGTGGGGCTGCACCGGTAGAGATGGCTCTTTTATACATACTTTGTATACTTCGAAGAAATGTCAATATTGTGTCAGTCTTACAATCAAACTATTTTCTAAGGGCACCCCTGCTTCCCTCAAGAGCAGTTTATAGAATAAACCCCTGAAAATAAAGACACCTGTCTAAATTGTACTCTTCTTCTGTTCCAATTGTGGCCTATACTGTCTTGTGGCAAATTGATTCTGTGGATGATGTGTTGGTTATATACCTACAGCTACCTCCCGAGTCCCCATCTCCAGTTCCTCCTAACCCAACGCCACCACCTTTGGCCCCTGACCCCACATCAGAGGTCATCTCAATGACTCCCACTGCCTCCATGGAGGGTAAGTGACAGGGCTGAGCTGAGCCCCTGGTGAATTGGTAACATTACATCATGGCAAACCCCATCCTTGGTCTTTATGAGAAGCCGGGTTTTCTTCACACTGTATGTATGTGCTATAATTCTTTACATTAGGTTGAAAGTTCTTTTAGTATAACGGTAGTGAATAATGAAGAGTCCATTCTCTCACTCTGTGTGTGTGTGTATATATAGTGAGGACGGAGGGCGAGGAGGGTGTGGTACAGGTGACAGTAGAGAGATCTGACAGTAGCCATGGAGTAGGAGAAGACGAGACCCAGCAACTCATACTTGACCGAGCAGGACACGGACAACAATAGCAAACACTATTATTAGTCATAATTATAGGGTTTGTGTGTGTGTGTTGGAGGTTTCTGATCTGTTCATGAATTTTATGTGTTGTGTCTCACTCATGTGGCTGTTGGTAGATATCGCATGCCGCTGCCATTGTAACTTTTTCGCATTCTTCTTCTTCTTTATAATCTCCACTGAAGGAGAGAGTATATTCCCTAGGTGCGGGTGAAGATTGGGAAAATGAAGTGGATCAGGATAGAAGTCGAGAGCGAGCAGATAAGTATGGTGAAGCGTGCATGAAATTACGCGGCTTACTGCGCATGCTTAAGTGAATTATAACCTTTGACCTCAGCCTTGGGTCACATGACTATTAGGGAGCAAAACAAGGCTGCTGCTCGTTGCTGTCGTCAAGCTATGGATCTGCGTGTAGCGAGCTCTGTGGTAGCGTGTCTGCTGGTGACGGCGCAGTTATCCCTGGCCGCCGAGCGTCACGACTGCCCGGCATCCTCGTGTCCCCAGCCACACGAGAGTTTAGACCTGTCGCCACTGCAAGGGTGAGTATCTCCTTCCCGTACGGCTGACCGACAACAGCCGTATCGTACTGTCATGGCTGTATATAACCAACGAGTACATTGTACGAGATCCAGGGTGTGTGTAGGTTGTGGGTAGTGGTGGTGGATTCTGTACAGTCATACATTATGTGCTTGCATTATAATCTTGGTGTGCTGTCAAAGGGAGGTTGCTAATGGTCGTCCACCTGTGTGTGTGAAAGTCCAGATGGTGGACACGTGGGGTCTATGTACAACAAGACCTGTTAACTCTAGTGGTGTGCGTGTATGTATACCTTTAATATGGGGTGACAGCATCGAGAAAGAGTCACACTTTACTACTTACAATGACTCTCCCCGCTTGCCTTCTTCTCTGCTTCTTTCCTCCCCCTCCCTCTCTCTTCCCCTCCCCTCCACCCCCCACCCTCTCTGTCTCTTCTGTCCCTCACAGTACATGGGAGCTGGTAGATTTTGCCGAGTCAGAGCTGGGAGTTCGTGAGCCGAGATTCTTCAACCTCAGTCTGTGTGGCCCAGTGGACTATACTGGACCATCCAACAGCTGCCAGGACACCAGCCTTTGCTACTCACAGCTTCTTGATAGATACTACAGTCTGGGCAGCACAGGTAATGGTAGAGGACTCCTTGATAGATAGGGCAGCACAGGTAGTGATGATAACACTGCTGATGTGTGCACTCTAGTGTACATCGGCATGCACACAAGAGCCAGTACGTAGGCAGTGCACATTGGTAGTGCACTTAAAGTGCGCGTAGCTGCTGTGTATATAAGTATATAGAAAGGGTTAGAATTGTCCAAAAAGACTCTTTGCATAACTACACTCAGGTACACATGTGTACATGATAATGGATTCCAAACTTAGTGTGTTTCAGGCACATTATGGCTACCCTGGGTTTCTCCCTCCTTATTAACCTGTGTATGTACGCGTAGTCTGTCAGCATTCAACACAATGTGTATGTGTACACGTGCACTGTATGAATGTCTCATCTCTCTCTCTCTTTCTCTTCCCACCCCCCCCTCTCTTCCACACTGTGTCAAACATCTATTCCACCATATGTGTACAGGTAGTTGTCGGTACAGCTACAGTGACCGGATGGTAAAGCTGTACTACACGTACGGCGAAGATGCCAGCAACGTGTTTGGACAAGGAAACGTTACTGTCACCCTTGTCTGTGGGAGGAGTTTGGTGAGTCGCCTTTTGTAGCACTCAATGGCAGCAGACTGAATACACATATACGTAATGTATATGTGTATGTGTTGGCCAGTGCTTTAGTTCAAAGCATCATGTCCCAAGTCATAACAGCACAGAACACAGTGTTTTTCTAGGTGACAGGGGGGACAAATTCCACCACTAAAGAGAGATGCATAAATCACTGTAATAATGGCAATTTTCGGTACAGTTTTATTTTCAGTAACTTCAGTAGAAAAATAATCACCTACAGTCAGAACATGAAGAGCACTAAAGTGCAAACCCTCGGCGAACTGCGCATGTGCGGTACCGCTAAAAATGGTGGGCTGGGCTATTAGTATAGTATGCGTTTACTGGTGGTCTCCCGTTAGTAGTTCGCAGAGAGTCTGACACGGGCTAGCTACAGTAGTAGATAGCATGCGAGAGTCGTTAGTTGTGACTTCTTGTGCCTTCAAGATTGACAGAGCAAGCGGACCCGGGTCGAGGTACGTAAGCCTGTGCTAAATATAAGCGCATGCGCATTATCCGCAGCGATAAAATGGCGACTACCGGCATTAGCCATACAATGCTGGAAGCGCTCTAGCTTTGCAACTGAGCATTTTCAGAGAGAACCCCACAAATTTTCTGATCTTCATCGCCCGTTGGGTAGATGGTATCGTTTCTGGGATGAACAGACATTCGAGAGGTGAGATGTAGAGTAACAGACAGACACACGGACACACGGACAGACACACAGACCCAACTACAGTACCCTCGCTGCGCATGCGCGCCGAGGGTACTGTATACACTCTTTGTACTTCTACTTCATACCATATATTATAGTGTTTTTTTTACTCGCGTGGTACGATACTTGTATTCCAGGGAGTGCCAGAGGTGGTTGTGGGTGACCCGGCAGACCACACCATCGAGATACTGTGGCTCACCTCAGCCGCCTGTAAGACGGACTCCTCCCTTGCCGCCACGCCCGAGACCAAATGCTACACCATCAGAGCCTACGAGGAGAACGGTGTCAAGGCAAAGATGATTGATCTCTCCAACCTCATCCAGCCGTCGGGCTACGAGGTGACGCACGCAGAGACCAAAGAGGCCGTGTTTCTCGTCGGAGTCTGTCGTCCCATCCAGAGTCGGACGTACCCGCAGTGTAACGGGTCGATGGTGTGTTTGGTTCGTGGTGACCCGAGTTTCGATCTGGGCGACGTGTCTATCCCGCTGAAACTTGCCTCTGTTAATGGTTCTTCCAGTCTGGAAGTAGAGAGCGGTTTTCCAACACTGACGTATACTGGAGAGCAGGCCACTGGCTGTGACAGGGAGAGGAGAGTGAAGGTCATCTACCAGTGCCCTTCTGGGAGAGAGGTGAGAGAGGGAGAGAGAGAACTAAGAGAGAGAGTGGGGAGAGAGAGAAGGACCAAGGGATAAATAAACAAAGGATGAAAAAAGCAGGAGATATGTGCATGTGATCAGTTTCTCCACTCTCCTATTCCTTGTCCGTACTTTTATGTTCTTGAAACTAGTGTTCCTTTCAGCAACTATTCACGTGGACAGAAAAGTTAATTAATACTAAGCTATAGTTGCGCGTGGGTTTCCGTAAATGAACACGAGCCCTTTGTGCATGGAGTCAGTTTTCAGTTGAAGGTGTTCGTGGAATGCAGGGAAGCATTAGGCTTAATTGAAGTGCAAGTGTATGTAACATGTTTGTACACGTGCATATCGCATGTTTATGCATCGTAAGATCTTTCATGGTATCACCGTGTTACAGCTACACTTGGAAGTAAATTATATGGGTCCACATTCTGTTGCCTTGTTTCGAGGTGTTCACTGCTCTGTGTACATGTTACTGTATGTATAAAATTCCCATTCAAATAGTATTACGTGTGGTAGAATCGGGGGATAGAAAAACGTGGCGGGAGTGGCATTACTGAACTGTTTCTACTGTAACACTGATCCCCTGACAGGATCTAGGTCCCACTATCTCCTTCCTGGACGACCGTCTCTGCCTCGTTGTGGTCACCTGGTACTCCTACTCCGCCTGCGGTATCGACGCAGTCCAGAGCACTGGCTGTATTCTGACCTCTGCCAGTGGGCTGTCGTTTGACCTCACCGGGCTCTCGGAGACTCTCATGCAGGTCAACGGAACGTCTCCCGACAGGCACAACTACACCTACGCCGTGCAGTTGTGCAGTGGGAACAGGGTTAATACTCAATGTGGGATCCTGGATTCGACGGGAGTTCGCGTGGCGCAGATCGACTCCCAAAACCACGGAGTCTGTCGCTCCCTCGGGACGGGGGAAGGTAAACTGAGATACGTGGATGGTGCCCTGTCCCTCACCTATGAAATGGGCGACAGCTGTCACTCAAACTTCCACCGCACGTCAATCATTAACTTTGTTTGCCCCGAGGACGTAAAGGAAGCATCGAGTTCGAACCAGCTTCGTTTTCTGAGCGAGGACAACTGTCTGTATGAGTTTGAGTGGTCTACTCCGCTGGCCTGTGGCACCCAGACCTCGGGTGCTCAGGACTGCCACTTCGAGTTGAACGGGAATGAGTACAACTTTGCTCCGCTCCTCGGGGAGGCAGACAGGAACTGGGTGGCCGTTGACGAAGTGGAGGAGACAGAGTGCTACATGGTGAACCCCTGCGGAGAGCTTTTCGTTACCGAGGACTCTCGCTCGGCGGCTGATTACTGTAACGACAGGGTGGCCCCCAAGAGCGGCTGCGTCGGGTGCAGCGTGTGTCAGATCAACAAAGACGGCGGCACGAAATGCATCGGGACTTTCGATCTACAGAACGCTCTCTCTCTCTCGAGTGTGGACCAAAACGTTGTGACCGTTCGCGGTAACTCTAGTGACAAGTCTGACTCTGGCCCTGTGGCCGTGATGCACTATGTCTGCAAGACTGGCGACTTCACCACACCGCCCGTTTTTGTAGCCATCACCAACGATCGATTCTACGAGTTTCACTGGATGACGATGGCTGCTTGTCCACTCGGAATCCACGTGGGGGAAAGCTGTACCGTCCAACACGAGTCCACGGGCTTCGTCTTTAACGCTACCTCTCTATCATCCATCCAGTTTTCATTTGACACCACTGCCTACCAGTTTAACATCTCGGTATGTAAACCACTGAACTATACCTGCCACGAGAGTAAAAAAGCCGGCGCCTGTCAGAAGTACAGCAGTAGTAAGAAGCTACTGGGTGAATCCAACTCTGCTCTGACTTACTCGGACGGGACGCTGTTTCTCCAGTATCGTAACGGTGATCCGTGCCACTCTGGAGGGACTAGGAACACTACTGTCCTGCTCATGTGCGATAGCCAGGCTCACAGACCCACCATTGCTGCCGTGAACGAAGTCAACCACTGCCAATACGCGGTTGAACTCCACACGAAACAAGCTTGTCCGCCGGCTTTTAGAGCTACCGAGTGCATCCACTTCGACCAGGGACACACGTACGATTTCTCTGAGCTTTCAAAGTCCGTGGGGAACTGGCAGGCGGAAGGACCTGATGGTTCTATCTACTATATAAACCTCTGTCAATCGCTCAACCATTGAACAGAGTGGCCGGTTGCAGTCCGCTCTCTGCGTGATGGTCGCTGCAAGGACAGCCGTGGAAGACAGAGTTCACAGATCTCGGTCTCTGGCAGCTAGCGCCGTCGTCACAGTGACCGCTGGAGTGGCGACGAGAAGAAGAATCGTGTCGTTCTCTCGTACTCTTCCGTAGTGCCTCACCGTACGGTGGTCAAGTGTACACTACCGATTGGAGTTCCTCGGCACACCCTTCAGCTCTGTCCAGAGCGTGAGATTTATTACTGGTTCATGATACTCTCTTCTCCCTTCTTGTTTCTATGAAGAGGTCATACGTTAACCACAACTTACAAAACGCTAGATTAATGGCCGCCAGTAGTGTGGAGTCTGAGATAAATCTCTCATATAGGCCGCAATATTTCCGGTTTTTACAGTATGCATACGTTGCCGTACGTGTCCAATCCCTGACAGTCTGGGCGGTTTTCACAGTCGGGCGGAGACGAGGCTAATCGCTGCGGGTTCTCCGTACTGCGACCCCGCGTGTCCCGTGAGACAGCACAATCAATACTCCTGCTCAGTACGCGACCGTGTCCGCGACTATTACGGACTTACCTCTGCTCGCTGAAGGAACCACTCAATCTCTCCAGTGGGATGGTTAGTCTCGCTAAAACTCGCTTAAGTTTCGAAACTCCTGTCTTTTAGTTATCCTGTGATTAACAGCATAGCTATCTTGCGGCGCTACTCTAAACGTGTCGTGTCTATACATTTTTGGGAACAACTACTTTTAGTAAGTCAAATCAACGCAAGCAAATTGTCTAGTTGTTACAAGTCAGCACGTGTTGAGCTCGGCCTACGACAGCTTGATAGTTCGACCTTGTCTCCAATTCGTGCTCAGATGGAGGACCCGGGGCATATTCTCTGTGTGGAGGACATGGCTAACACCTGTCACCAGTCGTCACTGAATGCCTCGGTCGCCAGGGCTACGACGGACACCAGTGTCAGCGGTCTGGCAGACTCTCGCCAGCTCCTCTTCTTCGACGGCTCACTCAGTCCGAGACGCGCGGAGGAGATGAAGTGTAAGTCCAACGGGCAAAAAACCGCTCCACTCTTAGCAGCTTCAGTGTGGACCAGTCTGTGCTGCCGGCCAACCTAGCTATGTGCAGGTCGTGGGGTGATAGAGGGTGAGGTATGCACATGTGTATTGATGCATCATAGCTAACATACAGTGTAGCTTCTACATTCGCTCGCGTGTGGAGAAACATCAGGTAGAAAAACAACCAATTGCTCACAGTCGAAGTGAATGGTACTATTCCACACTCCATCTGTAGTTGAAATGTCCTGGATGGTTGGCTTGACTTTTCTTCCACTCACGCACTTGCAAGAAATGCATAATAGTTAAACCCCTATTGGGAGAAAGAGGAAAGGGGGTGTGCTATACTTGTATGTGAGACTGTAAGGGCAAACCAGAGTGAATAGTACTATTCCACACTCCATCTGTAGTTGAAGTGTCGTGGATGGTTGACTTGACTTTTCTTCCACTCACGCACTTGCAAGAAATGCAACATCATTAAACCCCTGTATGGGGGAAAGGGGGAGTGTGATATCTGTACATGTATGCGAGACTGTATGGGTAAACCAAGAGTGAATGATACTATTCCGATACTCCAACTATATTCAAATGATTTAAGACGGGTTGTTTGTCTTTTCTTTCACCCACATGCTCGCAACAAAGCAAACTGTTCAATTAGGGTGGGATGCAGTACATTTGCCAGGCTGAAGGCGTTTTATATGTTTTTAGAGAAACCTTTAGGACATTTTACCTACTTGGCTTCCTTGCGCTAATACTCTACCATCTCCGTTTTTTGTCACGATCTGCCTTCCCAGGAGGTGGACTGTGAGTATTCATTCGTGTGGCCGACTCTATTGGCCTGTCCTCACAAGGAACTGGAGTGCGTTGCCAGAGGAGGGAGATATGACCTTCGACCTCTGCTCCACTACCACAATTACATGGTCACCACGTCTGGCGACTACACCATTGCTGTGGGCGGATGCAGGTGACTTCTGTTAATCCTTAGTGCAACCGCCAATTCAGCAAATTTCCAGATACTAACTGCCGATTTTAAAAGAGGCAAAACGTTAATGTTCAAGACTCATAAATTAACCCTCAAGACCACTGCCAGTTTAAAGAGGCTAAATACATGTACATTCGGCAAATTCCAGATATATAAATTAAACCACAAGCCAACTGCCAATTTTGTGTTAAAATTCAGCAAATAAGTATAAACTGTGAAGGCAACTGCCAATTTTAAAAAGGACATAATAAATTAAACTAATCCTCAAAGAAACTGTCAAAAGTTGTCAAATTAATAAACCCTCAAGGCAACTCCCAATTTAAAAGAAGCACAATAGTTAAAAATTTGGCCACACACACTCCCAGCTATTTTTCCCACTATGTTATTGTGTGTGCTCTATATTATGTCATCCTCCCTTTGCAGTGGCCTGGACTTTGAATCGCTGCCTCGCTGCCCGCAGGAGGCAGGTATGGGTGCCTGCAAGTTCCCCACGGCTGGCTCCGACGAGGGAGAGGTTCTGGGTTACCTGATCGGAGATATGGTGGAGGAGGTGACTGGGGTACTGAGACTCTCCTACTATAATGGAGCAAAGTGTGCGGGGAGTGGGAAGAGTAGAACTGTCAACATCTTCTTCCAATGTGAGATGGGAGCTGGACTGGTGAGTCACACAATGTATAGACCTTGTATACGCGCCTTCCTTAACCATGTATAATTAATATGTACACACATGCCTTCCTTAACCATGTATATGTTTATACTTATGTGTAGCATCCATACTCAATGTGTAATCGTTCGTATGAATAATGTATGCATGTGGAGATTTGTGAGACTTACCCAAAAAGATGAAATTAAGGAAGGTGTAGTCACGTGCAAGGCGGGTAGCTCCACATGTATACTTACATTGCAGCTAACTGTCTTTTGGTCTGTATTGTAGCTAAGCCTTTTTGCTCTAGCTATAATATGCCAAATTAACTCCGGCCTTATAAGCGTAGAATGTCTGCAATTCAGGTGATTGTAGCGTTTGTGTTAAGCCTTTCTTACATCATGTCCTTCAGTGAGTATAGCCCTGCAAACCGTTAGGAACTTCTTTATGAATAGCACCAAACACAGGCAGTGTTCAGGACACCTTATGCTGCGTAAGCTGTAAAACCCTATTTCAAAACTGTGTGTTTGTATAATTATACTGATTTTTGAATAAGTGGTAAAAAAATTTTGTGCTTATTTTGCCATAATGTATTATACATCTCTGTCAGGGGGTGCCCATTGAGAGGGACAGTAGTGATGACAGCTGTATCACCAGCATCGACTGGCTCACTCAGTACGCCTGTCCTCTGGACGCAGTCAGCACCAATGAATGGAACATCTCTAACCCCGTCACCCACCAGAACTTTGACCTCACAAAACTGAGCCCTGTCCTCTCTCAGACTTTTATCGAGAACGGCATCACCTACAACTACACAGTCGCACTCGGCGGGCATCAAATAGAATGCGGGACGTTGGGCAAAGACTACCATAACCCCATAGGAGCGTGCCAGGTCAGAGTTGACACGGGGAAATCGTTCATTCTCGGTCGACGAAACACCACCCTGCGGTTTGTTGGGGAGGAACTGCGAGCCGAGTATCGCAATGGGAACTTCTGTCACCATGTCGATGCCCCCAGGAGGACCGTTTTAACGTTTGTGTGCAACTCTACGGCGCCCGAGTCGGGTTACTTGGAGGTTTTGC